GTTTGGACACGGCACTTCCCTGCTGCCGTCCGCCATAACAGACAAAGAGCTGCTCAGAGGATCTAAAGTACTGGGTACGGTCCACATAAATGCGCAGGGCGCGAACTGGACAGAGTAAGAAAAGGGCTGGGTCTACCTCTACCGGGGGCAGCTCTTGCAGGGTTACTACCTGATCTCTAAAGGGAGTGGTAGGAACCATGGGCATATAAGCCGAGCGGGGTCTCAGGATAAGTCACTGACCGAAAATGCCTCCAGATCGCGTTGGCCTCCATTAAGAGGGTCTGGGACTGGAACCTGGAGGCATTTTCGGTCAGTTATCTTCAGGGACAGAAATCTTAAGGATACTGAATCGAGTGGCTCGAAGGGATCTGAACGCAGGCTCGTGAGAACGAGGGCGAGATCCCAAGAGGGCATGAGAGGGGGGCGAGTTGGATTAATTCGCCTAGCCCCTCTGAGGAACCGGATGATGAGGTTATGCTTTCCCACGTTGCCACCAGCCACCGCGTCATGGTGAGCGGAGATAGCGGCAACGTAAATCTTGAGAGTAGAGGGCGACAGACTGCTATCCAGCTTCTCTTGAAGGAAAGAGAGCACAACACTGATCTGGTCTTCTCTGCAAGAGACTAACCATTCAGTGAATAGACTCTATTTCAGGGCGTAGGCGTGCCTCGTGCAGGGGGCTCTAGCCTGAGTGATGGTATCAACCACCGCAGCTGGCAGGTTACCTAAGTCTTCCTCGCGTCTAGGGACCACACGTGGAGGTTCCAGATATCGGGGCGAGGGTGCCAGATGGTGCCCTGTCCCTGAGAAAGTAGGTCCTCTTGTAAAGAGATCTGCCAAGGGAAGGCCCTAACGAGGTGGGAGAGCTTTGATATCCAGGTCCGGTTGGGCCAGAGGGGCGTAACTAGCAGAACCTGTTCCTCGTCCTCCCTGACCTTGCACAGTAGCTGCGCAATCAGGCTCACTGGAGAAACTGGAGCAAGGCTCAATGGAGCAATTCGCTCTGGCTCCGCACCCTGACTCCGGAGAGGGGGCTTGGGGGCTGGGAGAAGGCAGACCGTCCCCCCAGCACCCGTGAGCTGCTGGTGGAGCATGTAGACCCTGCGAGCTGAGAGGTGGCGCGTCCCAGACTGGCAGGGCTTGAGCTGTGACATCCGGGGAAGGGGAAAAGTGCTCTTTTACTGAATTTTTGGTTTCACTGAAAAGTACCGTTGGATTATGGGCCCCGCCCTCCAGCGGGGAAAGAGCAAATTTCCTCCTCTCCAGATGGCCTGTATCAGGGACGCTTCGCAGTCCGTTTACCGGACTTAGCGGCGCCCTGGGCAGGAGGGGCTGCCGGCTTCCGGCATGCTCGACGTGCCCGCTTCGCCGGAGGGCTGGTAGGTGGCCATCGCATGCAAGGCGGAAGCAGCCTGGCCCGCAGCCTTGTAAGCTCTAGCTCAGAGGGAGAAAGATAACCTACAGGCTTTGATCGGGAGACGGGGTGGGCCGCGCCAAGTAGGGGCGCCACGCGGACAGAGATTGACCGCAATGGCGTGCTCCACCGGCGGGATCGCCTCATACCCCCTGGCAGCTCCACCATCCAGGGTGATGAGGGCGGAGGGGGACGCAGTGCGGGCAGAGAAAGGTGCCCTCCAGGACTGCGTGAGCCTACTGTGCACCTCCGGGAAGAAGGGGACGAGAGGCTTCAGAGGCTTCGCCTTCTGGTCCTCTACGTAACACCCATCTAGTCGGTCCGGCCGCGGGGCTGGGGGATGAACCATCTCCCACCCGACGGCCGAAGCAGCCCAGGAAAGCACGACCAACATGTCCGCTTCAGAATCAATTTTGACGGTGCTCGCTTGCCCAGAGGGGGCGAGCGGGTCCGGATCATCGTCGGACAATGAAAGCCCACCCTCCGATGCCGCGGAGGACATATGGTCTCCGGTGTCAGCGAGCGTGAGAGCTACCATCTGATTAGATGGATCACTCCCAGTACCCGAAGCTTGGATGGAGCGCTTGGAAGAGCGAGAGGTCCGGGAGCCCGTGGGCGGCAAATTATCTCCCACTGAAACCCTCAGATCTGCCCGAGCGCCCGCTGCAGAGCAGGAGGCAACTGGGGTGGCTCGCTTTCTTACGAAAGTTAGCCGCAATCTCAACTGCGCGACGGTCATGGCATCACAGTGACGACATGAACCGCCCCCGAGCACTACATTGACATGCTGGACCCCCAAACATGTAATGCAGTGATCGTGTTCATCATCCTGAGCCAGGAAACCCCCGCAACCAGAAACGCACAGTTGGAGCGCCATCCTGAAAAGGACGTGCTGCACGACTGTGTTGCTCTTTTAGGAAAATTTGCAACAATACGCACCACTCTGGAGGACCGGACCCAAAGGGACGCCAGGCAAGAGAGAAACCCAGCTCGACCGTCTGCCGCTGCGTGGACTCGCTCTGGACCCGGAGACACTCGTTCACTCGAAGTCGATGTAGCTCAGCCAGAGGAAACCCTCATGAACTCGATCAGAAAAGTCTCTGAAGTGAAAAGGATGGTGTTTGCTGGCGCCAGGTGTGCTTATATGCTCAGTTAATTGGCAATGCAGCACAGCTGCGCAAGCTTACGCTGCCAATTCATTGTTTTTTATTGGCCCGTTCATTATTCTTTCAGACAAGCGACTTCTGAACCGAAACCTCCCATACGTGGATTTTAACATTAAATCCACTTATAGCACTGGAGTTCCCCAACCGAAGGGGAACTCTGGTTTGCACTCCTTGCCGAATGCCCTTAAGTGTAATTGTAGTGTTTTAAATTTTTCTATATACTTATATTTTTAGATTATATATGTAATTGTATTTATTGTAATTTCTTTTTTAAAATTCTACTTTTTGTATTAATATTATGTGCTAAGGTCTGAGAGTAATGCAGTTTTGATTCTCTGTATGTCCTGTACATGTGGTTGAATTGACAAAAAAGCTGACTTTGATGTTGGAACATTGAAAATCAGTTACACTGTCATAGCAAGACAGATTTATCATACTTACATTACTAAGAGAAAAACAGTGCAAGAGGTGGTAAGTGTAATTACTAGTTTAAAAAATACTGAACCACTGGAAAGGTAAAGTAAGGGATTTACAAAAGCAGAGTCCTTTATTCTTTGTTTTCCAAAAATATTGTGCATAACATTAAAATGAATAATGTAGATTTTATGAATACGATAAGCATGAGAAGAAAATGAAGTCATGAATTAGTTCTGATATTTTGCAGACTATTTCAGTTTCAGATCAACTACATTTGACATATTTCAGACAATGTCAATTGTAATTTAATCACTAATAAATGTAATCAGTATATTAAATGATCAAACATCGTTTAAGGGTGGGTTTAATGTAAGAGAAAGAATATATAGTAAAATGTATAATGTACAGTATAAAAATCCTTACACAATATAAAAACCCATCACTGTTTGTTTGTGTGTGTCTCAATCTTTGTGAAGCTGATTTGAGTGTTGGACCAACAAAATGAGGATCAAGACAGTAAAATGAATATATGTTGGTAAAGAACTGTTGGAGGGTAAAAAAAAATAAAGGTCAAGATTAGGTTAAGTATAACAAATATGGCCGACCAGACTCATAAATATTTAGCATTTTATTCCACAACCAGTCAACTTTGCCCAGAGAAGGCTCGAAACCTGATTCCAAGGTATTTACGACCCAAAGGAATGGTCCATGCGTCATTAAACACAGGAACGACTTAGAAAGGACTCTTTAAACTGCTTGTTTAACACTGATGTTTTCATATAAACTTTACCCTCTTTATGTTTAATCATATGCTTTGCAAAGTTTCCCTTTCTCTTGTATTAATATTTTTGGTTTTAATACCCCTGCATATAATGTTTTAACTGTACCTAGACCTAATGTTCTAACTGTACCTAAACAACCTCTTATACTGTTCAAGTTTGGACTTTTCAAAAAGCTTACTCACTGTACAAATTGATCGTTGACATTTAATTTTAATATGAGTGCAACATATTAATGTTTTAAGAGACTTTAACATTTTTGTCCCGATTTACATAAAATGTGCCTATGCAAATTATTCCAACATTATGAAGCTGCAGGCCCGGAGACCCAACCGCACGCTCAGACCTGCTCGCTCAGACCAGCACTTCCAGACCTATCCTTTTTTCAGACAGTGCCACCTGATGTTGAAAAAATTGCCTAACCTGAATTCAACGATTTATAATTTGTAAATTACACTATTTTTCTACTATAAAATATTACACTATGATTGAATACATTATTATATAAAATATTAAACATACTAGATTATGATTTAATGCATTAAGTCTGTTGTATTTTAATTAACTGTATTTGTAAATAGATATTGTTCAGTTACTTAAATATTTTCAGTCATTTATTGTTTTTGTTGTTGTTTTTTTGTTTTTAAATCATTAAGGATTTATCAAACTCTTTAGTATTGAGTTGAGGGAATGAACATTATCTCTTTATTCACATACAATAAATGATAGTACTCTGAGTAATTTTCTCACACCAAACTTTATTTTTTTATAAATTTTCATGAGGTCCTACAAGTCATCGAGCTGTAAAAAAATGCAGAGAAAAATTGTGAAAAATAATACTCGGAATAATAATGTATTTATTACGTATAAAATAAAATAAAATGCTTTACATTCTTGTTGGGGAGATTTTTCATTTCTCGAGCAATTCTTCTGTTAAATTCCTCAACTTCACTAAAAAAAATAAATGCTGTTGTCAGAAATTGTGTTTAACATAAAAACCTAACAGCTTTTGTACAAAAAAATGTAAACATACCTTGCGTGATAAATGGGGCCCTGGGGGAAGACATCTTCAGCCTCCTGCCAAGACAAGCCTTGTAATTCGGAAATGCCATGAGTTATGGCCTGTACAAAAATACAGATAAACCAATTAATAAAATAAAACACACACTGCAGAACATAAGCATGCTCATGTACATACATGTTTTGTGATTACCTCTTGGAGGAGACATCCACAAATGAACTCCACCTCATCATTGAAGGTCAGCTGTGTTTTGGTTTTATTAAGAATTCCTCTGATGTAGTCACAAATGATTGACTGGGACTGCTCATTCTCAATGTAGACAGGCACTTGAGAACGGGGTTTTAGTGGAAACCAATTTGACCTTTTCCCACCGAGTATATCCTTTGGGCCATAGAAGGAAATTATATTTCATATGTAAATGCACAAGTAATTAATTATATTTGGCAAATAATAGTTAAATTGTCACTGGACTATATTTAAGTCAACCATACTCAGAGTCTAGAGGAGTAATTTAAAGTGGAACCATCTATACCACCAAATGCTGCTCTGCTGATTTTGATGTGATAATCAAGTCCACTAATCTTTTGTCAATCCTTTCCCGATCTTGAACTGCTTGGACATGTGCCGGAAGATTGGATGTGGTTTTTCTTTTCACCCTAAAAAGGGGCAGAATCTTTCCATCCAAGACACTTCTTGCCTCCTCAGTCCAGAAAGCAAATCTGTGCTCATAGCTTTTAATAACAAGACAAGACAAAATCCATATTAACTGGTCACCGGTAAGAGAGATATTAAGTATGTTTTGTTATTCATGTTACAAGTTGTTGTATTGACACAATATAATTTTTTAATTTTACAGATTTACAAGAAAAAAATAAATAAATACTGACATACCCATCAATTTGAAATCGTTCCATGAGTAGAAGGCACCACCACTGACGGATGATAGGCATATCCATCTGAAAGAAAGACGGTTTAGTCTGACAGTTAACCAACATGTTTTTGTTAATACATGATGTTGGGTGTGCTTGCAATAACCATGCCCCTTTTTTTAAAAGATATGTTGCTTAGAAGAAAGCAAGATAATATACAATAAAATAGTTACATTTTAGCTATGATTAAGAAAAGCACCAACAAAATAAAGTTACATAAATAATAAAATAATACCTCCTGGAATTGAAACCCAATGCCACACACCATTGAGAGGGTGTACTGAAAAGAGAGAAGCCACAGTCATTTACAATGTTTACAAAATCTTTAAATCAATTAACTCAATTTATATCTTACCATGAGTACAAAAACACCACAATCATTCCCTCTTGTCTGATGTGGCAAAGCCTAAAATAGGCAAAGCAAATCAATTTTATTTTAGAATAATGTACAAAAAATTTAATTGTTGTAAAAGCCAAATAATAATTTATTTAAAGTTGATTCCTCACTGGAAAATCATATCCAGTCTTTTCAGTCCATGTCCCATGATCCACTTGGTAAGCAATTTTCCTGTAAACAAAACATATTAGTAGTAATACTAACAATTACAGCTCACCTCAACTCTAGAACACCATGCATAAAAAAGGCTAGATGAACATAGCCAGAAGTTCAAGAAACAGCTATAGGAACGTAGCCAAAAGTGACAGAACTATAATACACGGTTAGAAAATAAATAGAAATGGCTATAGGACTGTAGCCATATATCACATAAAGGCTGAAACATGTCTTAGTTTATTGATAGACCTAAAAATTGCCCTGTATTCCTCATCTCCAAATCCTGATTCATGCTCTGCGTACAGAGAGTCTAAAAACACCATCTCTCTTTGAAGCGGCATCATTATCTACAATGTTTAAGGTGTAAAAATATTTCATTTGAACATTATTGCTTCTTCCAAGATTTTTCAGTGTTTTATTTTAGAAACACACACATTGCAATACCAATTAATGTATGCACTAGACATTTCAATATTTTCTTACACAGACAACAAAGTGGTCTGGTCCATTGGCATTTGTCCATGCTGGAAAGGCTAACAGGTCTTTCAAGTCTGCATCTTCCTAGAATTGATCAGGACAGTTATGTCGTTTAATTTAGGTTGTACTTCTCACACAGTAAATACAGTACATACATGCACCGGTAATCCAGTAACAATGTTGTTAGGAGTTTCTTTCCACACAGGGACAACATAAAAGTCCTCAATGTATATGTCCTTGCCCTACATGAATAAAAAGAAACTGTTGACAATGACATGAACATTTTCACACAGTTTAGAAATTGTTTTTTTTTTTTTTTTTTTAAATTTGGATCAAGTTAAAACAATCTATATAAATATTATGTTTTATAGTACATACAATTTGTCGAGCCATTTCACAAATAAGCTTCATGCAGGCGTTTCCAATCTGCAATAAATAGTTTGATAAGTCAATGTTTTTAATAAAAAAAAAAGTTATAAAAAAACAGACTGCTTACATGGGAGTCCATGTCCCTCAACAATCCAAGGCTCCAAAATTCTTCTCGAATAAGGCACACTTGCCCCTCCTTCACAATTATTTCACTGCCAGGGTGATTTTGGTCCAGCACATAATCAAGCTGTAATAATAATAACAATAAATATGTGAGTGTGTGTGTGTGTGTGTGCGTTTGTATGTAATGGTAATTGTTCACCAGTTTCTCCTGTAATGGATGCCAGTCCCTCTCCCAAGGCTTAGTAGGTTCCAAAAAATTCAGAAGAGTGGTAGGTTCACAAGCTGTTTTTTTCTGTAATTGGTACTGATGACAGAGGAGATGTGACTGATGTTATGCCTGGTGATGCAGCGGTCGTTTGTAAAGTCAAAATATTTTCTGGCAGTGCTGTCAGTGGTCCTTAGAGTACATTAAAGTATCAAAATTAGAAAATGACACATAATAATTAGAGAACAGAAACTAGACAATGAGCAACTGGAAAGAAAGGTCAAATTACCAAGTGACATGTCCATGCATTTCTTTGTGGAGGATGGATTTTCTATAAATACAAATATACACATAAGTACAGTTATGGATATAGTGATGTATTTGTTACAAAGTAAGAGAAACATTACCTAACACAACCTGGCTGTGGTCATTCATGTGAATGTTTGTGTTGAATTCCTTTTTTATGTCATGAAGACGTTTCTCGTTTTTTCTGACATTGTAATGGTGGATGATGTTTTGCATGAGGAAAACATGTGTGGATGGCAATGCCATGTTTATAAAGTAGTTATTTTTCTTTAGCTTTGAAAAAAGCTGTTCTGCAGCCTGACTGTTAACTTTGCCAGCTAGTTGAGGCACAAGACGAAGCTTCCTCAGTGAATCAGGAGGATCTTTTGTGTTGTCTTCGTGAAAGCGGTCATACAGAACATAATGTTCTGCAGAACCAGTTATTGGATGACCATCCGGATCTGGACTTTGCTTTTTTGCAGTGAGCCATGGCAGAGTTACCTGTAATTTTCCTGATTTTGCTTTTGCAATATTTTCAGTGGTTGGTTCGAGTAACCTTCCCTCGAAAGGTGTGAAAGTTATGGGTTGCCTCAAATTTGTGTGGGTGGACAGTCCACGGGCAAAGTCATAAATAACAACATTAGGCAGATGCTTCCAAGACAGAAGCATATCTGCAAAATCCTGTGGACTTTCTGCTCGCAGATTACATTTTATACTGTAAACTATGCCACAAGGACACATTATGATAGCCCAACCTCCTGGAACAGACAATAAAGATAAGCAAATAGTTAAGAAAACAATATCAAATCCCATTAATGACATTGGGACTTAAATGACCATAGGTTATGATGGAGGGCAGTGGCATTAACCTTAACAAAGTATACTTTTAATAAATTTAAAGATGCAGTGCCTCAGAAAGGTAAATACACTCCCCCACACGGAAAGCAACAATACACCCTGGTGTCAGACGAGGCCACCTCCAACACCCCCAAAGCTGTACACCACCAGTCACTCCCCAATCAGTGCCAAGCAGAAAACAGGACCCATTATGTCTATGTGACTTTGTACATTTCTGATTTATTTGTAATATTTTAATGTGCAACATTGAGGTTTACCTGAAGCAGCCCAAATCTTTTCAAAAACCTTGTCATAGGCCTCCCTTGACCTCATCTCCTCCGAAAGTCGCAGGAGTAGATCTGTGCGAGAGCCTTTGGCATCTAAACCACACTCTTGACACAGTCTTCTTATCACTCCCACCTATCACATAAAACACACATGTTAAATGAAATGCCAACACTGACAAATAATACATATAATTAGCATTAAATATTTTACTTTCTGTTTTGAAAGTTCGTCCTTTAAGCGATCTTCAGAGAAAGTTATTTCTGTTCGTTCTGCAGTTTTTGCTTTGTGCACTTTCTCAAATTCAGTGTTGAGAACAACATTCGCTATGCGAGTCTTACTCCCGATCCAGGGTGCCCAAAAGTTGTAACTAGGTGTAACACAAAATGGATTGTTTTTTTGACCTTTAGGACAAACAAACATGTTAGTACATCAGTGAATTTAAATTGTACTCCTTTAAACACTTATGAAATTAAATAATGATGACATGCCATTTTTGATATAATAAATTTCCTTACTTGAAAAAAATCCTCAAGCAATTAGTTCTTCTGTCAGTGCCTTCCAAAACATATCTAAATCCACCTCTCCATTAAAATCTTGTGGAGGCTGTGAAAGATCACTCACTAAAGAAAATAAATACATACTATAAACGTACTAATAGTTTTACTAATAAGACTTATCTCTCTGCAGTAAAAAGGAAAGATATTTACCAGAGATATGAAAGGATGTCTTCTTGTGGAGGTCCATTATGACCACAGGTGGATGGTCACCACAAGATACACATGAATACTCGTATTCATGGTCAGTTAGGGCCTCAAAATGCAGATAGCCATGGAGAAGAGTAACTGCTGAGGGGAACTGTACACCTGTAGTTACCTCCAAGTACTCCACTACTCTGCTGACTGCTGTATGCACCTATGATAAAGAAATCACAGTTAATCAGTACTTATATAGACAAGGCAAGGCAAGGCAAGTTTATTTATATAGCACATTTCATACACAATGGTAATTCAAAGTGCTTTACATAAACAAGAATAAAAGAGACAAGTATAAGAAAATAAAAACAAAGAATAAAAATGATTTAAAAAACAGTTAAAAACAGAAAACATAATAGTGTGACCTGTCGGACGTAGCACAGTGCTCATTCAGTAAAGGCACAGCTAAACAGATGTGTTTTAAGTCTTGATTTGAATGTACCTAATGTTGCCTAACATAAAATCAACACTATGAAGAAATCCTATTGTTGTAAAAAATAATATATTGTATAACATATAATATATGTATTGTATAACGATTACCTGCAACAGGTTTCTTATGGTGAGGCAGAGAGAGAGTTCAAGGAGGACATGGTCATTGAAGTTATGCAAACCATTAGCCCACTCTTGGTAACGGTACACCATTCCACAGAAAGGACAGAATTTGTAGTAGGTTGAAATATCTGCAGATACAGAATGTAAAATAAATGGTTTAGTATCTTTTTCATAATAAAAATAAAATAAAATATGTAAGTAACAATTATCCACCTTGGACAATTCCTGTAGTTGTAAGAAGTTTTGCTTTACGTGTAATGCATACCGGATCACTGAGCAATGTGCGGTCTGAGCAGTGGTAGCACATTGTCTCATCAGGGATTAGGTGTTTTGGAAATTCCTTATAGTCTGAAGAAAGTCTCAAATGACTGGGAATAGTAGATGGTTGCTTTTTATTCATTAAGATGTATTCTACCATGCTCTTTACTTTAGCAATGTCCTTTGGACGGTAATTCACACTTTCATCACTTTCCTCCATCGCTGCTGCCTAAAATTCTTCAGCGCTTTCAGTGCTCCGAACTTTTCGGAAGAGTTCAGGGTGAATTTGAAAGAGGTGCCATTTTGCTATGTATTTATGGGTACATGATCTCTGGGTTCTTGCACAGGGACAGTGCCATGAATTCTTCTTGGTGTCATATGATACCATGACTCTGCCTAGTCTACTATAATATGATATATTAGGCTTGTAGACCGATATGAACCTTTTTGTTGGTGGGACTCCAATCTTGGATTCAACTGACAGTGGTGCATTTTCTTCTTGGGCTAGTTTTTGACGATTTACACACTTTTTTATTTTGTCCTGCCCAAACCACTTGCTTTTAACCATTTCTTTTAAACTTTCTTCTGTGAGTAAAGGTGAGGTTAAAAATGTTTTGCAGTATGAAACTGACCGGAGGTGAACACATTGGTATGACAGCAGTCCACTTCTCCAAGCCAACTCCATATTAGTCTGGCACTCATTTAATTCACATGAAGCACAATGTGGTTCCCCCCAGATTTTTATTTGCACATGGAGTGGAGTAGAAGCTCCATGAAAACTTTTGTGGACCATATAGACTTCATTCTGAGGGTCTATGCACTCACTGTCAAGATGAGATGAGGAAGTGATGTCCATCATTTTTGGGGTGTGTTTACGTTCTATATGTCTTTTTAATTTTTTATAGTGGCATATCAAATCACATTTGGGACATTTCTTTAGTTGCTTTGGTTTTTTCCGACAATTTTTTTTTTAAGGGCCTAGAAATGCCAGAAGTGGTGGGCAGAGCCATGTCAGTGGATAGAGGCACATGTGTGGCGGGCAGAGCCGTGTCAGTGGAGAGAGGCACATGTGTGGCGGGCAGAGCCGTGGCAGTGGAGAGAGGCACATGTGTGGCGGACAGAGCCGTGTCAGTGGAGAGAGGCACATGTGTGGCGGGCAGAGCCGTGGCAGTGGAGAGAGGCACATGTGTGGCGGGCAGAGCCGTGTCAGTGGAGAGAGGCACATGTGTGGCGGGCAGAGCCGTGGCAGTGGAGAGAGGCACATGTGTGGCGGACAGAGCCGTGTCAGTGGAGAGAGGCACATGTGTGGCGGGCAGAGCCGTGGCAGTGGAGAGAGGCACATGTGTGGCGGACAGAGCCGTGTCAGTGGAGAGAGGCACATGTGTGGCGGACAGAGCCGTGGCAGTAGAGAGAGGCACATGTGTGGCGGGCAGAGCCGTGTCAGTGGAGAGAGGCACATTTGTGGCGGAAAGAGCCGTGTCAATGGAGAGAGGCACATTTGTGGTGGGCAGAGCCGTGTCAGTGGAGAGAGGCACATTTGTGGCAGGCAGAGCCGTGTCAATGGAGAGAGGCACATGTGTGGCGGGCAGAGCCGTGGCAGTGGAGAGAGGCACATGTGTGGCGGGCAGAGCCGTGGCAGTGGAGAGAGGCACATGTGTGGCGGGCAGAGCCGTGTCAGTGGAGAGAGGCACATGTGTGGCAGGCAGAGCCGTGGCAGTGGAGAGAGGCACATGTGTGGCGGGCAGAGCCGTGTCAGTGGAGAGAGGCACATTTGTGGCAGGCAGAGCCGTGTCAGTGGAGAGAGGCACATGTGTGGCGGGCAGAGCCGTGTCAGTGGAGAGAGGCACATTTGTGGCAGGCAGAGCCGTGTCAATGGAGAGAGGCACATGTGTGGCGGGCAGAGCCGTGGCAGTGGAGAGAGGCACATGTGTGGCGGGCAGAGCCGTGGCAGTGGAGAGAGGCACATGTGTGGCGGGCAGAGCCGTGTCAGTGGAGAGAGGCACATGTGTGGCAGGCAGAGCCGTGGCAGTGGAGAGAGGCACATGTGTGGCGGGCAGAGCCGTGTCAGTGGAGAGAGGCACATTTGTGGCAGGCAGAGCCGTGTCAGTGGAGAGAGGCACATGTGTGGCGGGCAGAGCCGTGGCAGTGGAGAGAGGCACATGTGTGGCGGGCAGAGCCGTGGCAGTGGAGAGAGGCACATGTGTGGCGGGCAGAGATGTGGAAAAAGCTGTAATGGCTTTAGTGTGAGGGGTTGGTGGTTGTTGTTTTTGTTTGCAGAGTCCTAAATGTTTAACAAAATCAGGTTTTCTTAAAATGGTTGATTTGCAGAAGAGGCAGTCATAATGTGGCTGACTTCTGCAGAGGCGTCCACATCGGTGTATTGTAAATTCTGAAAAAAAAAGCAGTATAAGATTGCACTTTAAGTTTTCTTACAATTTTTCACTATAATAAGATGTACATTTTCAAATATTACCTTCATGCTGGACTGATCTATTAAAATGTGCCTGCAGATGTGATTGCACTTTTTTTAATCGTGTTGATTGGAAAACCGAGGCATCACAAAATGGACAATGAAAATATGTGCAGCATTTGGTGCACTGTACAGGTACTGGCATAGACCCCCCTTTTTGAATTGTAATATCCATCTAGGAAAAAAATACACAAGTCACTAGCAAATTATATTTGTTTTAACCTAAGAGAGCTCACATTGTAAATGTTATGCAGATTAATTGATATTTTGATTTCCAGATATCTTATTTACAATTGTTAAACTGTTATTGTGTTACTGTTATTGTCTGTACCACTTTCAGATGGATAATACAGTAATACGTTCAGTAGATCTACATAGCACTTTAATATGTTACAATTAATAATTGCTTTATATACACAATACATTTTATTTTAACATTTTTACTTTAAAGTTTTTTATTTTGCCAGAAATCATTGCTAGAAAAGTGTCCCAGAATGGTACAATAACAGAAAATAAGAGCACGCTGTAAATATCATAAAATAATGCTATCTTTTTACTAATTCAAATCAGACACTGAAATATTGTTTGTTAGTGTAATAAGATGTCACATTGATTTATGCCATAAAACCTGCTAATTTCAAGAATCGCTTTAATAAAATGAATAACCTTACTCACGTGTCCGATGTTGCTACTTCTTAGAAAGTGCTGGTCTGAGCATGGGTCTCGATACCTGCCACTTCACCCAACCCAACAGCAGGTGGCACTGTCTGAGAAAATGATAGGTCTGGAAGTGCTGGTCTGAGCGTGCAGGTCTGAGCGTGCGGTTGGGTCACCGGGCCTGCAGCTTCACCCTACTCAATTATTCTGCCTCGGACAAAGACCCATAAATTTAATATTCCAGGAAGTTAGCTTCTAATTGGTCAACTTTCCATGGATGGTGCATCCGAACCCGCCCTATAAAAGTTGAGGACTCTGTTCAAATGCTCTCTCTGTTTAAACTCTCTTGGGATCTCTCTTCAAAAACTCTCTCTCTTCGCACCCTTTCTGCTCTGAAACACGCTGCATGGGAGCTCTCCCTCTCTCTCCCAACTCCAAGCAAACCTCCCCTCTCTGCTCCAAAGGCCTCTGTTATGAAACCTTCTTCAAACTCAGCAACTTCCTCACAAACCAAAGTATTGAAACCTTCAAGAAAGCAGGCGGAAACCCAGACAGAAAGGGTGAATCATACCGCGCTTGGACATTTCGCTGTTCAGAAACTTTTCCAGCAACAACCCTTGTGAGAACAAAGGATCAGCCAGCCAACCACGTGCTCAACAACGGGAGCTCGGACATCACAAACAGACCGCAAGTACCACCTTTCTCCCAACATCTAAACTAATGTGAGCTAAGTTCAACCCTAATGAGACAATAGAAGGGTTATATTAAATTTGATTACATTTGGTTTGCTTGGTTTGTTCTTACAAACTGAGAGGCTTTCCCATCATTACACCTTCTCAACCTCTTACCTCACGTTACTCTTCCCTATGCTTGTATGAATGTGTGTTTGTGTTAGGTGTTAGTTTTTGTTACATTAGTCAATAAAGTCTAATTTTTTGTATAAAGA